AGAAGAACAGCTGAAAAAGTCTCAATTATAGCTATAAAAAAGCACAAAAAAGCTGAAATCATAAAACTAGAAGCTGATTTTTGCTGAAATTAGGACAAAGAAGTAAAAGAAAAACAACTAGAATAAAAGGTAAAAAGTGCATAATAGATTTATAAACATTTTAAAGAGTTGTAAAAATGTTGAAGACAGCTCCCATTCATTTTCAATCATAAACTACATTCTGAAAAAGCTAAATATCTCAAAATGTATAAATTGCTGAAATGTACCAAAGAAAAAAATGGTATATTGGTGATAAAACTGTTGCAAAGCTGTGAGGATGGTTACCACGACGTGACATGAGTTGCAGTAAAGAAGAACTGAGCACATCGGTCACAGAGCTCCTGTCCAGACAAATCATATCAACAACTCAAAGTGCATTTGGATTTGAACCTGATGTGAACCGCAGGGCTCACTGATAACACCTGCAGCAAAGATAAGTTTGTTTAGGCTTTTCATAGGATTTCTGCGTGTTCTCCCTGTTCTGATCGAAYGCTGACGGACACATTTACCAACAAACGGTGAGGAAAGTTCAACCAAAACAAGTTTAATCTCCCTCTGGTTCTACAGAGTGTTCAGTGTAAACAGCAACATTAATCCACTGCATCACAGAACAACTCTCACAAAGTGAATTTGATACATTTAACTGTAAAAATCAAAGAATTCATCAATATATTTCGAAAGGTAAATTTTTTTGATAAAATTCTAATCAGAAATAAAGTTATTATTATTATTATTATTTATTTATTTTGTTGCTGTAAACAGCATATTAGTTGTTGCAAACTCTCTGGAAAGGTCCCTGCTTGGGATTTGATCCGTCAACCTTCTCACTGAAGGCAACAGCTCTGCCAACTGAGCCACCGTGCCTATGTGGCCCATCAACACAATTTAAAAACTGGTGTATTTATTTATTTTATTTATTTATTTATTTCAAACTTCATTCATTTCTTAAAAGCAAAATTCTATATACAATAAAAAAAGAAAATTCAATGAAATGAAAGGCGGCAGAGAGAAGAAGAAAATCTTGTATCTGCCCCTTTTTTGTTGTTTGAATTGATGTTTTTATCTTTATTTAGTATTGTTTTGTAAATTATGTTTTGTTTGAATATATTCTGGGGATAAAAGGGCAGGCACTATAAGATTTATTCTTCTTCTGCTACCTTTCATTTTATTTTGATTTGTTATTTTCTTTGTTGTTTTATTGTATATAGGTATGTTTTAATGAAATGAATAATTTTTTTGAATTGAATAAATTTTTTTTCCTCAAGTATAAATTCAGACTAGGGCTGCGCGGTATAAGTGGTAGACAGTAGAAACGGTATGAAGTTGGCCTATGGTAGAAATTGACCCTCTACCGTCTCATTGTCAGTTATGTCATCGTACCTGTGTCAGCATGGCTGCGAGTGCAGAGACAACTGAGCAGGAGAAGTTTGAAATATAATGAAGAAATAGCGTTTTAAAACACGTATAGAGAAAATAAATCCTCAAAATTTCTCTCTCCCGCTGTAGAAAAGTTACGTTGTGCTGTCGTGTCACGGGATCATTTCCTCCCTCCCGCAGCACGTCACTTAGAGCGAAGCTTTAAAAACCGTAGTTTTTTCACACCCAAGTTGTCGGAGAAAAAAACTTGTTTTTTTATGTATTGTTACCCACAGAGATGATAAAAAAGACGTGGATGTTCGTTCAGTCATAAATCCATCTTGCTAATGTAAAGTCGGCTTCTGCTCTGATGATGAAGATGATAGCGCAGCAGAGTAGCGGGTCAGTTCAACAGACAGAAGCTCAATGTATGGCAAGCAGATATTACATTTATTTGGCTTCACCACACTTACATTCTAGTTATCTGAAATTGTTTTATGACAGGACTATGTGCACAAAGCCCCTTCAGGTCCCGTCATAACATTTTAGACAACTTATGCCAATTTAGAATGTTTTATGTCTAAATGACTAATTTTACTTGAAGTACTGGTTATAACATCCACTTTATTTTGATGTTGAAAATTTGAGAAATGTTTTTGTTTATTGTTGAAACCATTTAACTATATATATAAAACATTCTTTTGTACTTCTGTTATGTTCATTTGCACTACAGCAAAAATACTGGGTTTGATTATGATTACAGTTTTCTGCAAAATAAATGCTGTAAAAATTACACTATCTTTGCTTTTTATGATAATTTTCTACCGCGATATATACCTTTACCGTGAAGGGATTCAATTTATACCGTGATATGAATTTGAGGTCGTACCGCCCAGCCTTAATTCAAACAATACTAATTTGTAATTAAAACAAAAATCTTCCTAGAACAACAATTTATACAAATACACATACTATTTCATATCTCTTGAACAATCCAGCCTTTACCATTCTCTTAAACATGTACAGTGATTTTTCCCTTTTAACATCATTTTCCAGATTATTCCACAATCTGACTCCTTGGATTGAGGTGCATCGTTCTTTGAAAGTGGTTCGAAATTTATCAATCAACCAAATATTTGAATTTACAAAATTATAAATGGATAATGGTAGTGTTTTCAAGTGATAACTCTTGTAGCTCTTTTCTGCAAAACAAAAACAGCATGTGTAATTGTCTTTCATACTTTCCCCCATACCTCAACACAATAAACCAAGTGTTGTAGTTTGATGTCTCTGCTTTTGACACAAATTGAAAGTCTCAGAGAAGGCATAACTTTCCAGCTTGAGTGATTTAAATAGGTCATGTGACCAGGCTCCAGAGGATTAATTTACGTCGTGATTTTTAAATACCGTCACCGTATTATAATACTGAGGTATACCACAATACCATCATACCGCCTGAGCCTAATGTCCAGTTGATTTAACTGAGACCACAGATGGACTCCAGTCAAGATGTAGAAACATCTCTGGAGATATCGAGAGATGGGAGGTACCGACATAAAGTTCAAGAGTTCTTACAAGACATTTTAATACAAACTTACTTTTAATATGTTTATTTGTCACCGGGCTGACAAGGAAAACCGGCTAAAAACCAGGAAGTACATCTTTTTATACACGATTCTTCAATGCCTGAGTTCGCCCCCTACTGACCTATGGCTGAATCACAGGCATTCATCCAATAAACTCAACCTAATGTTATCATATGGTTCACTTATGTGTTGTTTATGATTCGGACATGTAACTACTCTATATCAGTTAACACATAATAGATCAAACATTATAAAAATATTATAAAAAGGAAACCCTAATACTCTAGTGTTGTTTCTAACATCAGTACTAATCTGTAATAACTATAAATTTCTTCACTAACAATAATAATGAATTTTATTTATAAAGCACTTTACATTCAACAAAAATCTCAAAGTGCTACAATCAAATACAATAGCAACAAAACAAGTTGAATGAAATACACATTTAATATAAAAAAGATAAAAACAAAACGCATTAATTAAAAGGAAATCAATAAGAACACTAAATAAAAAAGGTTTCTAGGCCTGTTTTGAATTTGTGCTTTGAACACGAACAAGGGTTATACCAGTTTATATAAATGTACATTAGTAATATTAGCTTAAAAAGATGATTTTTTTTTCTTTTTCAGTCGCCACAGATGGGGACGTTCATGGGCGTTTACCTGCCCTGCCTGCAGAACATCTTCGGGGTCATCTTGTTCCTGCGGTTGTCGTGGGTGGTGGGCACAGCTGGGGTGCTGCAGGCCTTTTGTATTGTCTTCATATGCTGCTGCTGTGTGAGTATTTGTGTGTCAGCAAGCAGCCGATGTGACAGAAACAATTAGAAACCTCTAAAGCATTTGTGTGGCCGTCTCCCCTTCAGACGATGCTGACTGCGATATCAATGAGTGCCATTGCTACGAATGGAGTTGTGCCAGGTATCCTTATACGTTGCATTTTTTCAGCTAAACCAAAACACAGTACAGAGGTAAGGGTACACACATACCAGCAGTGACCCGCCACGCAACCTTTCTAGGTGTGCAGTTAAATCTCACCAGTCATCTTCCAGCACTGATCCAGTCCATGTTTTATTTAACTCGTGTTATTTCTTTGTCCTGTTTCTCCCTCTGTGTGCCACTCCCTCTGTCTGTTCATACATTGTGAACAAAACTAGGATATCTATCTTTCATTGACCTTACCTCTCACTGAAATGCATCTAGACAAACACAGTAAATGTCAAAGTAGTTTGATTTATTAATTTTTTCTTTTGCCTCAAGCATGTTGACATTTAGAGAATTGAATGTAGGATGAATGTCTTTGATAACGTAGGAAATAACTGTCTAACAACTTGTTTTGCATCAGACATTCAGCTCTTTGTTTGTCAGATGACCAGCTTTCAGCTCTCAGGCTTTCTTATCATCTACTCTCAGATGGTCGTTGATACTGTATGTGTGTTACATGTGGGTGATGAAATGACTGAAAACCGTGTTTGGCTTTTGAAAAGCAGCTCAGCCTTAGACATTATTCAGCGGGGGTGATAACTAAAGGCAGAAAACAAGGACGTTTCAATGTAACACTATTTAATCCCCTGCAAATTTATGTTAAGTCTTTGTAGCAGTTCTATAGCTCATGACTCCTCCCTAAGCACAACACAAAGCTGCCAGTAACACAATGTATAGTTTTTTAAATACTCTTTAGTTACAATTAGGTATTTGATACCTAAAAACAGTCGTGTGTGTGGGGGAGTAAGCACGCTTCATGTCAGGACTTGGCTGTCTTAAGTTGTTCTTGTGTGAATTGGGGGGGGGCTCCCCTTTACTCAACATCACAGGAGTACAGTGTGAGCAGGTCTGCTGACATTAAGGCCCTGTTTACACGATGCAAATTTGCTGTGAAATCATAGTTTTTCTGCTGCGATTCGATTGATGGTATACACACTTAACTAGCCAACGTTCTCTATGAAATAGGGCTGGGTATCAATTCAGATTTCCTGATTCGATTCACGATGATCCACGGTTCGGTTTGATAGATTTTTAAGTTAGTTAAGGGTATCAAGCAGTAATACATTTATTTTGATATGAAAGACATTCTCAAAGGAACTAATTCTGCCAATAGTAGAATCTAATTCTAACTTGGTGCGTTGGTAAAATTATAAACATTAAAGGCAAACTTGTAAATTGGAGTCTAATCTTGAAACAAAACTGTCTCAAGTTTCAAATTGTTTAAACTAAAAAGGAATTGCAGAGGAAGTGTTGTTGATACATTAGTTTTTTAAGAAACAATAATTTTCTTGATCACTAAGAAGTGATGGAATAAGGTTACAGGAGAAGAGGTGGGACAATATAAGTGTTTAGTTCTGCCCACTCTTTTGAGCGTATGAAAATGTTATATTTGTAATGTTTCTGTTACCTTCTGTTCAATAAAACTTAACAAGAAGAAAGAAAGAAAAAAAGGTTCTTCAGCTAAAACATTCCATCACTGTGAATTACATTAAGATGTTTCTAAAATTGATAAATAACATCGGTAACAAAACTAAAGGATTTTGTTAGACTGTCATCTTTCACAGATTTATACATGCAGAGGTGAACAGTTTCAGTCAGATGTTTACATACAGTAGATTTGGTTCGAGCCGCTTAAAGCTTCGTTTCCCGCTACCGAGTCTGAGCGCAAATCTTTGCAAACAAAAGTTGTCATGGCCTCTGTTATCTTTAAGCTCAGCTGAGAATCAGCTGTAATGTTAGTGATGCCTTAGTTTCTTTTGTTTTGCCCTAATGTTAGCACTGACCATCAACCGGATGTAAATCTACGGCAAGCCAGGAGTGACACACAACACGAAAACACACAGCTTCATCGCACACAACACCCRTGGGGAAAAATCAGTCTCATGACTTATGAATCGATCTTCCCAAATTTGAACGAAAATCTATCCAGATCGATTAAATCGATTTTTTTAACCCAGCCCTAGTGTTATTGCACCTGCACTTTTCTGAATTTTGGTTTCTTCAGTAACTAAGTGGGAGGTTTTTAGTGTGTGGGAAAACGACGACATGATTGGTCTGTTTGACTTGTGGGAAGATTTTGGTTAAGATACGATCGATCGGATTGATTATTTTGGGTGGGGTCAGAGCAGTGGTCTCCAAAATCAGTCCTCGAGGACTGGTGTCCTGCATATTTTAGGTGCTGCTCTGGTTCAACACAGCTGAACCTAAGGAGTGCTTAATTAGTAGGCCTCCTCAAACATGCAGGACACCGGCCCTTGAGGACCGACTTTGGACACCACTGATTTAGAAGAATTCATAACAGTTTGGTTGGATAAACACTGAGTGGTAGGGGGGACGTGCAGTTTGGTCAAAACGGCCAGAAACCACCTATAACTACATATAAATATTAATTTGGTCATAAATTGACACAGGAAGGTGTTACCACACCAAATTTGAAGTCAATAAGTTATATTTACAAGTTCACAATAATTTGCTATTATTTGAATTTGCCAAACTCCGCCCACCCAAGAATCTCCGTTACTCACAGCATGACTAACTCCACCTACACAAAGAACTCTGTCAATCATGGTTAGGACAAACTCCGCCCACACACCAAGAAGCTCCCCCTATGAACCGCAGAGATGCGTACTTGTCTCAGAGAGGAGGCTTTTTGGAGGGAGCATGCCAGTGTGGCATTAAAATCAGCCCATTGTTCCCATTACCCTCTTGTTAGCGTAGATCCTGTGGTGTTTTTGTAAGTAAAAGCTGCATTTTAGAAGCCAAACACTGAATTCTGAGCTGTCAGTGGGTAAAAAGAATAGAGTTGCTTGAAATGTGCGAGTTCCCACTGTTTGCTGTAGTTTTACGTTTTAAACTGTATCAGCAAATTATGAGTGCTGTTTGTTGTATCTCACTTGGTGTGCTGGTTTTGTTGGGTCAGTCTTGTGAACAATTTGTAACAATTATGTTTTGATTTAAGAAGCAGTCTAAAACATATTTATATTTTAAAAAAGAGAAAAAGTTCAATACATTTTTTACGTCTGTCCCAAAACAGTATTGAGCTTTGATAACCAGCTTCTTGGCATTTAGGAGGATAATTTATGACCTCAACCAAACCTTACCAGTGAGACAAATAAACAAGTCATCTTGAGTCATTTGCAGATACTTGTTGACCTAAATTTGCTCTTTTTCCCTAATCTTAATATATCCTTTAGAACAATATGCTTATTTCAACAAGCATAATTTGACTTTTTTCCATCAGCCGTCCATCTTTTCTCTTTTTACCTCTCAGTACCATCRTACTAATCATCCAACCCCCTCTCTGTCTCTTTGTGTCCCATTGGCTCTTTTCATTTTTCCTTCCTTTTCTAAATTCTTTCTCTTCTTTTTTGCTTTACTCTATCTTCTTTTCCTCATTCTCCATCCCTTGTGTACAATCTGCCCCCACCCCCACCCCGCCTCTTTCTGTCCTAATATTTTTCCTCCCCCTCCAGCGGGAGGCTCTTACTTCATGATCAGTCGGTCCCTGGGGCCAGAGTTTGGGGGAGCAGTGGGCCTTTGTTTCTACCTGGGCACCACCTTCGCCGGATCCATGTATATCCTCGGAGCTATCGAGATCCTCCTGGTAGGTTTTAGGTTTGTTTTTGTGAACTGGGTGCCAGTATTACTGTTCTGTTTTATGTAGCACTGATTCTAGAGAGCAGTATTTGTTCCTGTGTTTATTAGATACTCTGGAGGGGCTGTACTATATTTGTAATATTTCACTACTGAACAGATTACTTTAAAACTCTGTCTTCTCACTGTTTTGCTTTGCGCTGTAGTGCAAAATGCAGTTTTAAATCATTCTTAACAGTATTTCCATTTTATTTAAAACCCCAATCCTGAACTCAGTCCAACTGATGCTATCTGAATTGATTTAAATATTGCTGTACACAAGCAGCTCCCATCCATCTGGGCCCCGTTTCAGAAAACAGGCTTAACAAATCCTGGGTTAACACAGATATTCTGAATCAACTTACCCCACTCTGTGATGCTCAGGATTTACAGTTTCAGAACAGGTGATATCAACTGGGTAACTCAATCCTGAGTCAAGTTACCCTGAGTTAAGTTGGAGCATGAAGCCCTCCTCAATGGAAGTCAGATAACGTGATTCAAAAAGCAATACTGTCTGTAAGAGAAAGAGAGTTAATGAGGCAGAGAACTGCTGATCAAGTCAATGATTATGATTTTACATGAATCTAAACTTTTATTATTTTTATTTATTTTTGCTTTTATTCTTCATTAAAATGGATAAAACTGAGTGTGTGTGCATTATGTGTGTGTAGGTGAACACAGCCGGTACTAAACAGACATGGCAGCAAATAAAGATTAAATATAAAACCAGTAAAATCAGGTAAGTTCGGGTATAAGCTCTTATGTTCAACCTTTAACAAATAAATTACATAAATAGCTTCAACACAATTATTGTGTCGCCCTCAAAAAATGTGTATTACTCCATCAATATTTAATATAAGTTTATTTAACTTTTCATTGTGAATCAGAATAATTGTTAATTTTTCACAAAAACAGCTGTGATGGATGGTCAGCTGAAGAGATTCCAGCTCCTCTGGAGCTCAACTTTCTAATGTATTTTTTTAAAATTTTAAAAGTTTATTTCATTTTAAAAAGAACTGAGTAAATTCTATATACAATAAAATAAAAATGTATACTTCGGTAAGAATTTAAACCTGTGATCATAACTTCATTAGTGAGCAGAAATGTAAATGAAATTTGATCATTTGTCTTTCTCTAAAGCTTCCTGTGAAACAGCTACAAGCTGGACTTGAAGAAAAAGATTGAAACTTGAACAATTAAAAACATCCAAAACATCTAAAAATGCTCAAACACATTCATCCAGAAAGACGTCTAATCTTGGTCTTATCACGCCCTGACATAAATTAATGTGGATTATTACGCTCCAACATCTACAGGCTCCTTTAGAAAAGGACACGTCCTGTCTGACTCTGTCCTCGTGCTGCTCTCAGGTCAGACAAACTCAGGATAAGTTCAAGTAATCCTGCTACAGAGCAGGTTTGGTTCACAGAGGAAGTTGCGGGGGTAAGTTAACTCAGGATAACTGCTCTCTGGCTTTCTGAAACCCAAAACCCAGAGTATGCACCTAGTTACCCCAGAACTTACTCAGGATTTCCACTTATCCTGCTTCCTGAAATGGATGTACCTGAAAACACTTGCTGCTGTTGGTTCTACAAAGAACTGACTTTAGGGGAAGTGAAGAAATGAGCATGTTCAAAGTTTATTTTTTCTTTAACAGTAGAATTATACAACACATAGCAATCCTGCAGCTCTGCCTTAAAGCACTGTTGAAGCCACAGATGGTAACACACACACACACAGCTTTATTAGTCTTATCAGTTTCACCTGCTGTGTTTACATGTGTTGCTGCAGATCTGTTTCACTTTGCTCCTCTCTCCTCTGCTCTCCTCCAGACGTACATTGTTCCAGAGGCAGCCATTTTTCAAGGAGACGGGGCGGCCATGTTGAACAACATGCGAATCTACGGCACCATCTGTCTCCTCCTGATGGCCTTATTGGTCTTTGTGGGCGTTAAATATGTAAACAAACTGGCTTCCATCTTCTTGGCCTGTGTCATCATCTCTATCTTCTCCATCTACATCGGCGCACTGGTCTCTGCCTTCAGACAGCCGCATTTCCCGTAAGATTTCCTGTCCACAGATACTGAGCGCACCGGTTCTTTTCATTGTAATCCCTCTGACTCCTGGGTTTTTGTCTGCAGCGTGTGCATGCTGGGCAACAGAACTATCAACGGTCATGATATTGTGGACAACCAGTGTAGAAAAACCATCCTGGTGCAAATTAAAAACACAACAGAGAGTTCTGACAGTAACTTCATGAGTGACTATGGTGGGTCCATACATCCTGCTGACATCAGGAATCAGGAAGTGTTGCTTTTGTTCACCTTTCCTGATGTGCCTCATTCCCCTCCTTAGAGAACAGCACAGTGGGTCCAACCCATGCACCCCCCACCCACAACCCTGCTGCCATGGAGGAGCCCACAGCTCTGTGGGAACTTTTCTGCGGGGGCAGCAAAGAGCTCAACGCATCCTGTGACGAGTTCTTCACCTCCAATAATTTCTCCGAAATTAATGGGATCCCTGGTCTGATCAGCGGGGTCATTTCAGGTACAGGAAGTGTGTGTTTTAGGCTGCTGGTAGCGTTTTTAATGTCAGGGGTGTGCAGCTAGCAGAGCGGTAGTTTCTAGTGCCACTGTAGCAGAGTGCTATGTTGCTAATGCTAGGTCCTAGCCACTTATCCTGCAATCACAGGCTGTGTCTCAATTCATGGGCTGGGTGAGGACTCAGCCCATGAATTGAGACACAAATAAACAGTGCTTAGTTTGGCGGGCCATCAGGCCAATAAAACATTGGGGGAAACCCTGATATACTGTAAACCACAGTAGTGAGTGATATTTGTGACATGAAAAGGAGCGTTCAGATTGGCTGCTTGTTGTAGCCATATTTATCATTGCCATTATATCAATGTCAGTGGCTTAGATTTCACTTAATCATATGCTTTTACATTATGATAATCATGGGATTGTTTTAAGACTGCAGCAGTCCACTTTAGAAATGGACCCAATGCTATTTTGTCAACAATGCCCAGACCTGTCCATAAATAAATAAATACTAAATAATAAGTATTAACTCTCCTGACAGAGAACCTTTGGAGCTCGTACCTCAGCAAAGGTGATGTGATTGAGAAACACTCACTTAGCTCCTCTGACACGGGACATCCAGCCTCCACCCATCATCCATACGTCTTCGCTGACATCACCACCTCCTTCATGCTGCTGGTCGGCATCTTCTTCCCCTCAGTCACAGGTGCACACTGCCAGTTTCCTGACAGGTTTCAGATTGTAAATTGTCATTTTTTGCTCATGTTTTATACACACAAATATAATAATATAATATTTAATAGCAGTATATTAATAATATGTTTCTGTCCTCTTAATTATGATGGTTTCCTTTAATTTCAGGAATCATGGCTGGTTCTAATCGATCGGGGGATCTAAAAGACGCTCAGCGCTCCATCCCCATCGGAACCATCCTCGCTATCCTCACTACCTCTATTGTCTGTATCCTTTCCATTTAACATTTATCTGTTACAGTTTTATTTATTAAAAAATCATAAAACACAATGAACATGTTCATTTTTTAAATCCATCTGTAAATCATTGACATTTGAGCTGTTTTGACTAAAAATCTGTTTTAGTTATTTATTGATTTAGATAGATGCATTTTTTTCTCTAAAGTATATTTTTAAATATCCCCTTATTTAACTTTTTACTTGTTGTTTTATAGGACTAAAACTTGTTAGACTTGTTTTATGTGGTGTGTTTTCCTGAAYGTTGTCCTTCCAGATCTGAGTAGTGTTGTGTTGTTTGGCTCCTGCATTGAAGGGGTCGTCCTCAGAGACAAGTCAGTACATCTGCTTCAGTGTTTTCAGAATCTATAGGACGTTTTGTTTCGTTGCGTCATGAAAAAAAAGGGCAAAAAAACCCCTTCTATATAATATCACTGCAGGTTTGGATATTCAGTTAAAGGCAACCTGGTGGTGGGGACTCTGGCCTGGCCGTCACCTTGGGTCATTGTGATTGGCTCCTTCTTCTCTACATGCGGCGCAGGCCTGCAGTCTCTGACCGGAGCGCCCCGACTCCTGCAGGCCATCGCGAAGGACAACATCATCCCTTTCCTCCGGGTAAGAGCTGCACATTGTCAGTTATCAAACTGCACACGTTGACAATAGTAAAGTGTTATCAAGCTGTGAGCTTCTTGGGGGTCTGCAGTTCACGTTCACAGGACCCTTTTGCTGAAAGAGTCACTGAGTATCTCACAAGAAGAAAGTGTATTAAGAACAACCGTGTAGTTTCACTAACATGCCTGTTTGTACTTGATGCATCTCATTAATAAGGCCTTCAGACATTATAATTAGTTTTAGCAAAACCAGCTGCGGTCTGCTCTCCTGATCACATTTAAAGCTGCTCTATGAAATATGAAGTCTGCAGTCCTGTTGATCCTAGGATTTTTATGGGATGCTGCAAAGAATCTAAATATCTGATTTTTTTCTGTTATCCTTTAACATATTTGGATGAGAGATAAGAAGAATTTGATTTTTATTCATTTCAGCCAAAATAACTAGTTTCATCCCTTTATTTCTGTTGTGTTCTCCGCAAAAAAAGTTCAAGTTTCATGTCATGAATGTATTTAGTAGATGTATTTTTTGTTGGTCGTTTCCAACCAAACAGCTGCATTTGTACAATACAGTTATTAAACCAGAGAACTGAATGTTTTTATATTAAACGTGTTTCATTAAGTGACACACGTGATGCTTGGTTGTAATACAGCAGAATACCCCAGCCATTGTTTTTATTTATAGTTTTTTCTGTCCTAAATTTAAATTAAGGTGGCATTATAATGGTCTTAAAAAGTCTTAAATTTGACATGGTAAAGCTTGCAGATACCCTGATACTTACTCAGTTACCAAGCAGAACAATGAAAGTTCAGCAGGAACTTATGAGCTTACTGTAGCCCACAATAATTTTAAATAAGAATGTTCTTCTGTTTATTCTTTTTAGAAGCATATAAATTCTGCTGCTGTTATATTTTGTTAAATGGAAAAATAAATATTGGCCCTGGCTGATTATCCTCATACGCCTTCTGACACATTAAAAATATTTTATTAGCATTTTAACTAAAGTAAAATCTTGATTTGTCTTTTGTTTCTTTGTTTTAGCAGAGGGAGACTTTAAAAGACAAATAACACTCTGAATGGAACAGCTCATGTAGCGTTTTTAGGATTGAATATTTGGTTAATTTTTCTGTGTTTCACAGTTTAGTTTAGTATTTTTCTGTGTTTCATTCAGGTGTTTGGTCATGGCAAAGCAAACGGAGAGCCGACCTGGGCTCTGCTGCTGACAGCGCTGATAGCTGAGTTGGGGATTCTCATTGCCTCTTTGGACATGGTCGCACCCATCCTTACAATGTGAGGCCCAACTGT